AAGCCATAAAATTACAAGTGGTCTATCCAACAGTCTTAGTTTGATCAAATGAGCAAGCAGTTAGTTCTGAAAGAATATGCCCTACGCTAATCACCTAGACATCAATAACAGCAACAAGTTTCCTGATCAATGTAAAAAGGCAACCATTATATCAGTCCTGAATTCTTAACCTAGAGTAGAGATTATAAAGAACTAAGGATGAAAAGGTCAAGCATCTGCTGGATTTAAAACCCATGGTATGGTTATGTTAAGTACAATGATCAGGAAAGCTTAGGACTTGCGCATTTTTCTGGAAAGAGGGATTCACAGCTTTCACCACTTTTTGGAGGGTCCCATGACTTCAAAGGAAGTGTGAACTTCAAAAAGTATAACATTTGTAGGGTAAACAAATTAAAAACATTTAAAAATACTGCTCCTGTATTATTTTGTGTGTGCTTGATTAAATTGAACAAATACAGTCTGGAAATTCTCATGTGCCAATTATTTAGAATTTATTTCAAGTCAGGCTCTGGTGGCTCATGTCTACAACCCTAGCTATGTGGAAGGCTAAGATTGGGAGGATCATGGTTCAAGGCTACCCGGGACAAATAGTTGATGAGACCTCCATTTCCAAAATAACCAGAGTAAAATGAACTGGAGGTATGGCTCAAGTAGTAGAACACCTGTTTTGCAAGTAAAAAGCCTGAGTTCAAACCCCAGTACCACCAAAAAAAAAAAAAAAAAAAAAAAGAAGAAGAAAAATTTGATATCTCCAAATTAAGTTACTTAAAAGATCAAAGCCAAGATGAGCGAGCTCCTCTGAATATAAGAGCTATAGAAAAAGGAAAAACACTGGCAGAATTCAAAGCTGTACCTTCTGACTGCTGAGGACAAAAAAAGCTCAATCTAGTAGAAACAAAAGGCCAAAGTATGCAGTAAGTTATTATCAACCATCATAGTATAGAATATATGTTAAGTTCTTGAAAAAGGTAGCAAAAGAGAAATAGCTGCAAGAAATAAAATTAGTGCTATAATGGAAAAATCTTAAAATCCTCACTCTGTTGTGTTAATCTACTGATCTCACATGGATAGATGTCTTAGACGGTTTACTTATGCCACCATAGACCTAATTGAAACATAACGTAAAGGTGTCAACAGATGAGAAGACTCAATGACATTCAGAAAGTAGTTTAGAATTTATAGTCTAGACCTAGATATCATAAATGCATATGATATAAAATAAGAACTATTTTATAATATTATACAAGAAATTGGTCTTAAACCCCAGGAAAACAGCACAATGTTGGTGCTTAACTGTAATTAACGGTTGTTCCAAATACAGGAACAACACTCAAAGGACTGCACCTGTTCCTGCCATATATGTATATGAGACAAACAGGGGAAACCCACAACCACAACTGACCAAGTGTGGTTCCATTCACCGCAGGACTTCTAGTGAGGTATGCTTTCAGGAGAGAGATTAAAAAGATGATGACATTAAATAATGTACCAAGGAAACCATATACATGGCACTGGAAGAAAACTTTTATTTCCTTCTTTAAAAGAAGATCCTCAGTAATGAGGATATAAGGCACTAGACAGGAAATGCTTCTGATAAAGAAACACAAAAGAAAGAAAGAAAATGATATAAGAAGCCTAGCTTGTCCATGCAAATATCTGCTCTAGCAATTACCACCGAAGATGAAGAAAAGACACATCTGTGCATACTTGTGTCATAGTAAATTTATATGCACCAATATTAACTGGCCTTAAACACTGTCTAACAATTTTTTGTGTGTTCCTATTCAGTTCTCATAGAAATATTTAAAATATTTTTAAAGATCATTCTTTACTCCTAAAAAAAAAAAAACACCATTATTACCTTCACTACTCTCAACAGAAGTCCTCATATCTGACTTTACAGAGAAAACAAAAGCCAACAGAATAAAAACTGAATTTCCTGTCATCAAATCTACAAATTTCACCTCACCATAATGGTAGAGATGAAACTTTCTTTTACCTTCCAACACTTGTATGTTAGATTCTCCTTCTCCCTCACCTCCTTGGGGGTTTACACTACTAATTATCCCTCCTCTCCTTGTATCTTCAACCTCTACCTCTCTATTGCCTCCTCCTATAAAATCTAAACATGCTAGTATCTTTCCCAACTAAAATGAAAACCTTCCCTCTCAAATCTTTATACTCCTCCAGGTATCACTTTTTACTTCTCATCATAGCTGAACCTTTTGAAGGCTCTGACATTATCCAACATTTCCAACTTCCCAACTTCCCAGTCACTTCTCAATCTGGAACTCTGGCTTCCTGTCTCATTACTTATTTTGCATCTTCCTGGCCTTTTCACTAAATCCTAAAAATGCTATTATTTACCATCCCCCACTAGTGCTAGTAAACTTTCTTCTCAAACCCTCCCTTTTTTTTTTTTTTTCTTAGAGGCTGTACTTTCCTGGTTTTCCTTCCACCTCTTTAGCTAGGTCTTCTGCCTCCTTCAGAGCCTCCTCTTCCTCTTCATCCCTTAAATATTAATGATGGAAGAGTTCTGCACAGACTCACTTCTCTCTTCACTCACAGAAAGAAATACATTCACTCATCTTCCTCTCTTTTGAACATCACATTCATATAACCAGCTGCTGCTAAACATCCCCACTTAGCATGTATTTCCATTTCAGCATGCCTAAGAAGCTGTACTCTTCACAAAAGCCTGCCAATGATACCTCAAGATTTACATCCTCCACATTCATTCACTTCACTTCTTTCTTGTTGATTAGCCACTAGCTCAGGCAGCCATTTTTTACCCTTCACTGCCATAGCTTCCTAAGTGCTTCTCTGCTTTTGAACTTATTCCTGTTCCATCTATTATGTACACTATAAAACTAGGGTGATGTATATTGACATGATTACTCTCCTACTCTCCTACTTGCATGTATCATGTTTTTAACTAAATTAAAACTTTCAGTTCGCTAATCCAACCTCATCCCTAATCATAGTACCGCCTTTTCTTTCCACTCTCCCTACACATTATATTCTCCTTCCCTTTACCTCTGGGCCTTGCAGATGGAGTGATCTATCCTGAACACTCCCATTCTCTAATTTTCATATTTCTCTGGTTACCAAAGGACTTGGCTTAGATAACAACTCCTTCAAGTAAAATATTATCTACGTAGTACTCTGCATCTCCTCCATCTTTCTTATGCTTATGGAGCCATTTGTTTTCCCCAGTAGACTGTCATCAGCAAGTGAGTAGGAATGTGTGTCTTTTTTATTCACTGGTATGTCCATAGTATTAAGTATAGCACATGGACCATGCGAGGGACTCAGTGGTATTTGTTGACAATCAATAAATTTTACTAGGTTTGAAAAAGAAATTTGCTTAAAGCTTAATGAGTAAATAAAACTTAAAGAGGCACCACCACCACATGGTAGAAATAGAGAGATATGAAAGTATGAAAGGTTCTTTTTCAAGGCAAAAAAAAAAAAAAGCCAAAAATCTATTTAAATAGTTCAGTATCTGCTGAGCACTGTATCAAGAAACTGCTCTCATGAATATACTTTTCCATCCTAAGAAAATGAAGATAAACTTATTCTAGCACCTGCTTATTTATAACTTATTCCTCTCTTCGTCTTGGAATTTTTTTGTTTGATGAGTGGCTGTTATTTGAGGATAGGATTGGCCTATTATAGAAGGTGCCAGTTAAATCATTATCTTCCACTCCCAATCCCCCCAAGAAAAGTGAGAGTTCAACAAAGAAACAGATGGCTGGTGTGCCAAAGCTTATGATTGCTTATATAGTGGTCTAGCATTATGACAACTTGTAGCCCATTTCACAGAAAGTAATCTTGTAACTAGTCAGTAAGCAGAAAACAAAGAAAAAATGCCACCCTTACTTGCCACTGGAAGATGAGAAAGGAAATCTGCCATGGGCTGAATTGTATTCCTCCCTCCAAATTCATATGTTGAAATTCTAACTCCCCAAGTGATGGTATTTTTAGATGGATCCTTTGGAAAACAAATATGTTTAGTTGAGGTAATGAGGGTAGGGCCTACATGATAAGAAGAGACCTTTAAGAAGGTCCTTAGAAGAAGAGGCACAGAGGCTAGGCACAGTAGTTCATGGATATAATCCTAGCTACTCTGGAGACAGAGATCAGGAGGATCATGGTTCGAGGCAAGCCTAGGCAAAAAGTGCATGAGACTCCATCTCAACAAATATCCAGGCATGGTTGCATGTGCTTGTCATCTCAGCTACTTGGATAAAAAAAAAAATAGGGAATTGTGGACCAACCTGGGCAAAAAGTGAGACCCCATCCAAAAAAATAACTAAAGTAACAAGGGCTAGAAGCATGGCTCAAGTGGTAGCATGCCTGCCTAGTAAGCTCAAGGTCCTGAGATCAAACTCCAGTACCACTGAAATAAAAATAATAAGAGACACAGAGAGTTGGGCACAGTGGCATGCATCTATAATTCCAGTGCTCAGGTGGCTGAGGTAGAAGGATTGAGTTGGAAGCCAGTCTGAGAGAGTCTGCCTAAAAACAAAACCCAGAGAGACAGAAAGTTTGTTTTCTCTCTCCCCGTACCATTTAAGGACATAACAAGAAGGTGGTTGTCTACTGGCCAGCAAGAGATCCTCATCAGAAACCAACCATTTTGGTACCTTGATCTTGAACTAGCCTAGAAAACTGTGAGAAAATAAGTTTCCACTGTTTAAGCCACCCATTCTATGGTATTTTTCTTATAGTAGCCCTAGCAAACTAATAATAATACAATAATCATACTTACAGTTAGAGATTCCACATACTAACTTCAATTCCATCTTGACTCAACAGTAGTAGCTTTAATTTAGTAACATTAATGCTGGCTTTGAGTTTTTGTTTTTTAAAAGTGCTACCTTTCATAAAACAGTTTAGGAAATTAAAAATAAAAGAAGCATGATCATAAACAAATATAGTGCAGGCCTACTGGAATGCAGTATCAATCTAGTAAAAACAGAATAAATGATACTTACCACCACCAAGAATGTAAGAATCCTGGTGGTTCCCCCAATGTGATGTTTTTTTCCCATCTTATCTAAAATGAATAAAAAAGATATTAAGTCCTTTCCTAATGATACTTTCCCCAAACACATATTATAAAGCAATGCTTTTCTCATTAAAATACCATGGTAATTTTTAAGTTTTTCATCATTTTCATAGTATTCTTTACTCAAGATTTCTAAATACTAATTTTACTTAGTGATTTGTAGACTGAATGAGTGTTTGAGAGATGTCACCATTCTATCTCCATGAACTTGCTTCCTACTGTGCCAGTTTACTAAGCTTTCATCTCTTAACTCCAAATTCATCTTTCTGGGCTCTTTAAGATACTGATGCTGCAGATCCATACATTACCTCAGACCTTCATTAAATGGTTTCCCATTAAGTCCCATAAACTAAGAGAGCCTCTTGAGGGAAACTGGAAGTAGGAAAAGTGGAAAAGGGGTATGCTTCCTGTCCCCTACTAGCCCTGTCAGAGATGCCCCAACAGCATCAGTTTATTTCAGGAAAGGTAAGAGCTGGGTCCTCTCGTGTTTCCAACACAACCAGAACCAGTCCCTTCATGCCCAGTCAGAAGCATTCACACAGTTGAGCAGCCTCTCCCCAGAGACCTGAAGCCCACAAAACTGCTCTAATTTCTTAAGGTACCAGCACCAGACAGTACTCTCTCCTTAAGGTTTAAGACTCAGCTGTGAGAAGTTTCTCTTCCAATTTTTTGATAATTATAACCTCTTTATTTTGGTTTCCCAGCCCTAGTGATTGCTTGTGGCAATGATTAACTTTATGTAGCTTTATAACTTGTGTTCCCTTTTTTAAAAAATCTGTTTAGTTATGTCCATACATTGCATTCTCTCTACTAAATATTTTATGTGCTTTTAATTAGCATGTCTGGATTCTAATTTATATAACACAATGCACAGCTCCTCATGAAGTAAGAATATTAAAGACGAATTCCTTTTAAGCAGAATGAGGCATGAGCATAAAGTTTAGCTTCCCTGTATACTAGCTGTATGAACTGAGAAGACTTCAGTGTTAAGATTTAAGTAAGTATTCTGTGCCTCAGTTTCCTCATCTATAAATGGGTGCTCAAAGTGTTGTTATGGGGAATAAACTGGTTAGTACATGAAAATCTGTAATAAGTGCCTGATAACTACTAGATGCTATGATTATTTTTCTATTGCCCAGAAAAGTAACCCTATTTTAAAAATCTATTCTAGCATCACTATCACCAGCACTCACAAAATTCCAATGATATTCCATATTAAAATATTCAAGTATTTAGGTGCATACCAAACAAAATTTAGCTTTACTAGTCATAACGTAAAACCTTTGTGGAAATCATAGATACAACCAGGAGAAAAGAGCAATCAAAGATAGAACTAAGAAATAATTGTCTATACTTCTGGTAGAAATGGGAGAAATAAATCATTTAAACAAAATTAAGCTTTTATTTATTTAAAATAACTTATAACTAGTGTTTTGTTAACTATCATTCATGAAATTCAGAGGACCATTAAAAAATTGCATCCTAAAAAGAATTCAATGTTTTATATGTATATATATGTATAATTTTAATTGACACATAGTAATTATATATATATATATATATATATATATATTCATGGGGTACAATATGACATTTCAATACATGAATACAATGTGTAATGTTAAGACCAAGTAATAGGCACCTCTTTCATCCAGACATTTATCATTTCTTTGTGTTGGGAACATTTGAGATCTTCTTTACAAGCTATTTTGAAATATCCAATTAATTATTGTCAATCATAGCTATCCTCTCGTGGTAGAGAACACCAGAAGTTATTTCTCCTATCCAAATGTACACTTGAACCCCCAACACTCTATCCAGGATCTGGTAACCACTATCCTACTCACTATTTCTATGAGATCAGTTTTTAAACTTTCACAAGTGAGTGAGAACATGCAGTATCTGTCTTTTGGTATCTGACTTACTTCACTTAACATAATGTCCCAATGGGAGAATTCAATTTTTTAAGTTTTTCTTTCCTCTTTTTGGTGATCAGAAGGCATTTTATGATCTTAAGATACATCAAAATCTCTCCATTATTAACATCAATATGAGCATCAGGTATAACTACTGACCCAGAAATTTGCAAAAGATTGGGCTGAATAATGTAGACTAAATTATACCATAAGGACTGAGTTTTTAAATACACTCCTGATTTGAGGGGGTAGAAATAAAGAGAAGTGTATCTTTGATAAAAATATACAGTGATATTTATTTTCCAACTATTTACATTTCAGATGACTTGGAGTTCACCATAATAAAAATTGAAAACAAGGTCAATATCTCAAAAAGATTAAAAGTTCAGACTACATACATTTTACAAAGTAAATTTAGAAATCGGAAACCTGAATGGCTATTTATATAGCATATTTAATAGTAGTAAACACAAAAGATAAAAATCCCTTCCTTCAGGGAGATTACCTTATTGGGAAGATAGACCATAAACAAACAAGGGGAAAGCAAATTGTGTTTTTTTAGAAGGTGACAGTGCTACAGAGGTGAACAAAGAAGTGAAGGAATGTAAAAAGGGCAGGAAGTCAGTGAAATGAGTTACAGTTTTAAATAATGTGATCCAGAAAGAGCTAAAAAAATTTATGTATATGACTTAGTTTCTTAATTTAACTAATAAAAATTAATACTACCCCAAAGAGCAAAATATGTTCATAGGCCCTTAATACTAAGAAGAAGTAAACAACTGTAATTATAAAGGTCAGAAATAACCAAGGAATTCTTTCCATCATCTACTATGGAAGAAGTTATTCTTTTTCTTATACCAAAAGTTCTTTTAAAAAGCTTTGAAACAGAAACTTGGAAAATGGCCTAAAATGGGAGGAGGGGTTAAGAAAAAGATGGAAAAATTTAAGTACAATTAAAATCACTGACACTGGTAGGACTTTTTTTTAAGTTCTTAAGTACATAAAGTGTAAGGCAATGAAAACTTTGAAATAAACAAGCAATTTGCTCTCAAAAAACATGGAGAAATTTTTCTAAAGATTAAAAATGTGATAGCTATTTTAAGAGAGCTAAATGAAGAACATCTAGGAGTTAACAACATGAGAAAGTCTAAATATGGGGACTGGGTATGGTGGTGCTCATCTGTAATCCTAGCTACTTGGGAGGCAAACATCATAAGGATTGTGGTTGGAGGCTAGCCTTGGGCAAAAATGCAAGATTGTATGCAAAAAAATAACTAAGGCAAAAATGGGTTGGAAGCATGACTTAAGTGGTAGAGACCCTGACTAGTAAGCATGAAGCCCTGAGTTCAAAACCCCACTACTGCCAACAAAAAAAAAGAATGAATATGAGTAATAAACTAGAACACAATACATAACTATAAGCCAGATACTAATTTGAATTCTCCTTAGTAACACAAATAATTTGTATATCTAAGTCACATTTTTGCTGATAATTTAATCTGATAATTTAGTTAATCTGATGTCCTGCTAAAGTCATAATTTAGTTAAAAACCTCTGTCTCCTTCATCTCTGTGTTTTGCCTTAGCTGATGTCTTCTTGAAAGGCCCTTAAAGAGTATAACTTCACACATGTGCTCCAAATACACTAATACTCCTGATTACTGGAATTAACCTAATCATAGGAACAGCAAGTTTTTTGAAGCAGTGTTCTTATATTTCATCTTGGTTCATCTTGACTTTACAGAATATGCCCATGAAATAAAGAAGACATTTCTAATTAAGTACTATTCTTAATTAAAAGAAAAATAATGTGAAATTAGTGGAGTTAAAGTAGTATCACCAGGCTTTGATGCAAGGTGTGTTTGAGGTAGGATTGGACTGGCAGTCTAATGAGCCCCACTGCACCACATCAGTCACCAAACAATCCCCTTTGTGCACTTCCACAGTCAATCACCAGCTATTTCAGGAGATAAAGTACTCTAAGGAACCCCCTGTATGGCTTTTATTTGATATGGACTTTTATGAGAGGAAGTCTGACAGTAATCAATGTATATTTTTTAAAAAACTACATCTTATTATTTCTTAGAGAAACACAAACTGCTTCACATACACCAGTGCTCTCAGCCACATGTTTGTTTGTTTGTTTGTTTGTTTTACTGTATAGTGAGGAGAGTTCATTTTTCTCACTTTAAGGTAAAAATCTATGCAGAAATACCTAGAATTTGACCTATCATATAAAACACAGAAGCCACCCTTTTTATAGTTACTAAATGAACAACACTTAGTTCCAAAGAAAGGATGGTTCTACCTAGGAATATGCTTCCATAGTGAATAATATCACTGCCTCCAAACAAATCACTATTCCAGATATTTCTTGTTTATAAAAGCAGAAAAGGTACTTAAGAAACAGCAAGAGAGAACCTGAACTATAAAAAGCCAAGCCATATTCACTGCCACATTGTTAGAAAAAACACTCACCAGTAATGAATATAAAATAAATTTTTATACTTACACACTACAGGGCAGTGTTGAACCATTAAAAAGAATGAGATGTATCTACATGGAAAGAAGGCCATGCTCTACTGGTTTTTCAAGTTCGAATGTTGGAGAATAATATGTATAGTATAAAATCTTTTCCATTTGAAAAAAAGTGTACATGTGGCTGTGTGCATTCAGGTGTGTTTATATGAAATAAATCACACCAAGCTTATTACTATCTTCTAGGAAAGAGTAATTTTAAAATTACATTCATGTATATATTTATTTTTAACTAACATGTATTAATAATCAGTGGTGTTGAGAAATGGCTAAAAAAAATACCCCTAAAATATCAGGCTCTATTGACCTATAACTTTGATGTAAACCTCAAGACACTTTCTTATACCATATTCTGCAGGAGGGCCTTGTCTGTGATTATTCTGTCTCTACCATATAATCTAACACATTCAGCATTTCTATGTAAATCCAGAACCAAACACTGAATCATGAAAAAAAACAGCTATATAAACAACAGCCGAGGTATTGTTTCCATAATCACAGAACTATTTTTTTTTTTTTGTGGTACTGGAGTCTG